CTAGTCGATTCCAACTCATAGCGACCCTGTAGAGGGTTTTCAAGGCGCAAATGGTGAGTTTGAACCACCAACCTTGCAGTTCCAACAGACCTTACAGTTGAGTGCTTATCCTGCAGTGCCACACCAGGACTCCAACATTGTAGTGTTGTTAAGTGCCGTTGAGTCAGTTCCAACTCATAGCGACCCTATAGAGGAGAGGGTTTTCAAGAAACAACTGGTGAGTTTGAACCGCCAACCTTGTAGTTCCAACCAACCTTGCAGTTGAGTGCTTATCCTGCTGTGCCACACCAGGACTCCAACGTTGTAGTTGTTGTTAAGTGCTGTCAATTTGGTTCCAACTCACAGCGACCCTATAGACGGTTTTCAAGGAGCAACTGGTGAGCTTGAACTGCCGATCTTGTAGTTCAAACGACTGCAGTCTAATGCATTAACCCACAGCACCACACCAGGAGTAGCAGCCTGAAATTACTTTCCCTTTCCTTCAATATATATAATCAAGTATGAAATCTAAAATCAACTTAATCTGCTCTGAAATACATTACATTAGATCTGAAATCATACATTAGAAGGTCCTGGATAGAGTAGAGAAAAATGTGGACCCAAACAACAAAGACCAGGCTTACTGGTCTGATAGAGACTGGTGCAACCTATGAGGCTGTGGTCTTTAATCATCCTTCAGGTCTAGAATCAAACTCACCCCCATGGCTCAATTTTCAAATGATAGATATAGGTCTCTAGTAACACTAGAGAGAGATGCATACTTTAGAATAATCAACCATTTGAGATCAAAAGGGTAGCATTTACCCAAGGATAAAGTTCAAAAGAATTAGGAAAGAAGGAGAAATGAAAATAAACACAGAGAGGAAGTGGGATAAGTGATGTTATTTTGAGATGTAACAAAATTTGTATGAATAGTCAAACAAAATGATCTGCTCTGTAAACCTTCACTCAATTCACAATAGTTAAAAAATAACATCTATTTAATGTATGAATTAACTTGAAAATGATATTACCTTTATTTATCCAAATTTAAAATATATTTAATTTTGATCTACAAGATAACCTGTAAATTTATATTCCAGGTCTATTTACCATGTATGGGATCATATATGTACAATTCCATTCATGGCAGCATTCTTAATAGCAAACATTAGAAAACAATAACCAATAGGAGACTGATTAAATATATTATGGCACATTCATAAATAGAACACTATGTACTGAAAAATCAAATGTGTAACTTTTAAATGTGGCAAGTATGAGAAAATAAAAACTGGATCAATCTAACATGTGTCAGAAGACAGAAAAAAGGAAAGTAAAGAGAAAGTAAAAAGGAAAGTCATGGCGACCCTGTATAGGGTTTCAGAGGCTATACATCTTTATGGCAGCAGAAAGCCTCATCTTTCTCCCATGGAACAGCTGGTAGTTTTGAACTTCTGACCTTGTGGTTCCCAGCCCGATTCGTAACCACTATGCTACCAGAGCTCCTTGAAAATTAAGTAGGATGGTAGAAATAGTAAAGTATAAAATTCATTAAAATGTATTAATTTAAGGACAGCAATTCTATGACTGCATTTTTAAAACATTTTCAAAATGTTTTAAAAAAGACAAAATTAAAACAGAATGGCATTAAAAGGCTGAAAAGGGATAGAAAAACATACTAGGTTAATACTAATAGCTAGTGTAATACTAGATTACAGGGGGGAAAAAAAGGTATGGAAACCAAATTAAGGGATTGTTAAGTGCGGTCAACTTGGTTCCGCCTCACAGCAACCCTGTATAGGGTTTCTGAGGAGAGGCTGGTGAATTTGAACCAGACTTTATGATTCAAACTGACCTTGTGGTCCAGTGTTTATCCTATAAAGTCACACCAGAAATCCTAAATTAAGGGGAGTAGGTTTTTAGTATGGATAGAAAGGATCATCATTTAATGATAAAGAAAACTTACCAGCAAGTAATAAAAGAAAATCTACACGGCTAAAATCTACTTGCAAGTAATAAAAGAATGTACACTGCTAACAAAATACCCTCAAAATGTAATAATCAAGTGCTGAATTAATTATATTGCTGTTGCTGTTAAGTGCCGTCGAGTCTGTTCTGACCCATAGCAACCCTGTGTAGGGTTTCCAAGGAGCAGCTGGTAAGCTTGAACCAACCTTGCAGTTCAAATGGCTTTGCAGTCTGGCACATTAATCCACAGCACCACACCAGGACTCCACAGAAAATTCCAGAATCATTGTGGGAGAGTGAGTTTAAGAAAAAAGCTTCCTAAATGTCTCCTTTTAAAAGAAAAGCTAAAACATAAAGATATAAAGTATAATAACATTTACAAGGAATGGAAAAATATTCCCACTAATTTAAAGAAGCCTGATCTAAAAAATAGCAGTATCAGACAAAGATTTTAAGACAATTGTCTGAAGTGGAGAACTACAATAACCTTGACAATTTTTAGTCAAGAAAGAACTCATAGAATATGTAGAACTAAACTCAAAATTATTAAACAACAACAAAAAAGACAGGGCTTACTGGTCAGAAAGAAACTACAGGAACCTGAGACTCCTTGAACACCCTTTTGGTCTGGAAAAGAACTCACCCTTGTGGGCCAATTTACAGTCAAGCTGGCTGTATGTGCTGTAGAGTCATTTCCAACTCAGAGCAACCCTGAATAGGGTTTCTGAGGCTGTAAATCTTTACAGAAGCAGAAAGCCTCATCATTCTCCCATGGAACGGCTTGTAGTTTCAAACTGCTGACCTTAGGGTTAACAGTCCAACTCATAACCACTACCCTACCAGAGCTCCTTTTCAGTCAAGCAGTAGATAGTAATAGAGGGGGGGGCAGCACTAATAAGGTATGCTAATTAGGAAATACGGAATGGCCAATCATTCAAAATCAAAAGGGCAACAATTACCTAAGGACAAAGTTGAGAAGGGATGGGAAGGTGGGTAGAATGCAAATTCAAACCACAAAGAGGAAACAAGATAAAACTGTTGTTGCACTGAGGTGATTGTAATCATTGAGATGAAAAAAATGTATGAATTATTGAATGTAAAACTATAATCTTGACTGTAAATCTTCACTCAATTCACAATAAAAAAGTTTAAATATAAAGAGACTAGGAAAAAAAAAAAGGGACTCATATCCTATCAGAAACAAAAATGTTTTATGGTGGTGTTGGCAGTTGTGGGCCACTTACTCAGTTCCAACTAATAGCAACCCTGTATAGGGTTTCTGAGGCTGTAAATCTTTAAGGGAGCAGAAAGTCTTATGTTTCTCCTGAGGAGTACGGTAAATTAGAACTGCTAACTTTGCAGTTAGCAGCCCAACTCATAATCCGCTACACTACCAAGGCACCTTAAAAATGTATTATGAAGCCCCACAGAAAAATGACAACAATCAATTCATACCCATTGATTATTACACTGAATATAAATAGATTACATTCATCAACCAAGAGACATAGAGAGCAGAATGGGTAAGAAAACAGGATCTTTCATTATGCTGTTTACAAGGCACGTAAAAAAATAGAGTCAGTCTAAATGCCCATCAACAGAAGATGAGTTAAGCAAACTTTAGTATATACACACAATGAAATATTAAAAACGTTGAAGAATAATGATGAATCTGTGGAACACTCACATGGCTAAACCTGGAGGACATTATTCTGAGTGAAATTAGTCAATCACAATAGGACAAATATTGTTGGAGACCAGTGTAAAAAGTTAAGGAAAAAAAAAAATCTATGACGATTATAGGGTTGAGTGTGGAAGAAAATTATTCATGGTCTAGAGGGTAGACATGTGAACATGGTTGACAGGACAGGCACAGGCAATATACAACAGAGGGAGGTTAGCAGAGGAAGATGGAGGAATGTAATCGTTAAAGAGAAAAGAGGTAAACGCTGTTAACAGTTGGTACATGGAGGGGATTACAATAATTGTAATGAATTAAAGGATATGATTTGTTGAATGTAAAATTGATGCTCTGCTCTATAAACCTTTACTCAATTCACAATAAAAAATTTTTAAAAATTAGACAAACGCTGTAAACTGGCAATTCACAGAAGAAGAAACCTTATTGGATAATAAACAAAGCAAGGCATGCTTATTAATCATCATATATTCAGTTTTCATTTAAAAGAGGTAGGTCATACATATCCAACGGAAATAATTTTTGAATGTCTGGCAATCATCAGTGTTTGTGAAAGATGGGGAAGCACAGGGACTCTCCTATGGCTAAGAGGAAGTACACTGGTATAACAGTTGTGGAAGCAACTGTTGTACCAGTTTACCAACAACAATTATACCACAACAACTACGGAAACCAACACATAATATTTAGTGAAGATGTACATGCTACTTCTAGGTACGTCCACTAGCAATACTGTTTGGGATACTAAAAAGTCAATAATATTCTCAATGGTCATCAGTAAGAAAATTAATTAATCATAAGATTAATTATGCAAAAGAATACTATAAAGTATTTGAAACTCTACAAGTATTGACATGCTGTATGTGAAAAATAATGCTGAGCAATGAAGACACATTGCAAAAGAATAAACACCATGAAACCAGGTACTGTTAGTTTTAAAACACACAACTGAAGTCTAATTATATAAAATGAAGAAAAAAAGACATACATGAATAGGATAATGATTCATCTTGGAAGGAAGGAAATAACATGGAAAAGACCTTCAGTGGATATGCTGGGTTATTAAAACTAATTTTAAAACAAAATGATCTGAAGTACACAAGTCAAGTGGTTGTTATTGATAAGTGCCAACAAGTCAGATACAAGCCTGCACTAGTGTTGGCTGCAACCGTCCACTGACAAGGAACTGCCAGAGTTCAAGCCAGATTCAAATGAGAACATGAGAAGAGGGATATCACTGCTGACATCATATGGATAAGCTGTTCTATCTATCCTTTGGAGAAAGGAAAAAGAGCATTATAAACCTTCACAAACATACCCAAACATTATATTTAAAAAAAAACAAAAAAACTTTAATTTACTGTACATATTTAAATTTTAGAAGTTTCTAGGTAGATGCACATTCCTCCGTAGGTTTGTTTTGATCTTTGGTTACCTGTAAAAACATAACAACTTTACTTTTAGCATAAGCACTTTCAGTTTCACCCTTCACCAACCATTTTAAATCATTCCACAGTTCTTCTGTTATAATGACCCTTTGTCTTTCTCTTTCAATTATTATAGAAAGTTAAAGACTTACAAGGTCACATTACCAATATAAATTATAAAGTATAATTATTCCTTTCAAGAATAGAATCTGAGACATATTATACCTAGTCTTCTCAAATGTGCCATTTTATATTTCACAGATAAAACAAAATAATTTATATCAGGGGAATTAAAGAAGTTCGTGGAAAAATTCCCGTATCTTTCAGTTGTGTGAATGGATATTTCCTAAGAGATTATTCTGAGAATATTTTGTAGAGAAGATGAAACTAGGGCACAGTATTAAAAAATGAATAGGATATAGATAAGCAGAAATAATGAAGGCGTATGGGAAGGGGGGTCCAGACAGGACTGTCATGAAAAAATACACAAAATGTTTATAGTTCTTCGAGAGTTACCAGGGGCGGGAAGGAGTGGATAGTAACTCACAGGTCAGGGGATGTACACATGTTGAATTGGGGGGTAGTGGGAGTAGTAAACAGGAAGGGGGGGCAACACACAAAGCGGGGAGAAGCGTAGGGGAATGGGGAAGATGGGGAAAGACTCTTGGAGGTCTGCATGGAACAGAAGTGGACTGTGATGTTTGCATAGCCTTGGAATAACAAGACTCTATGATATAGGGATCAAGACACAGGCCGAAGGGTTAAAGGAAGGAAATAATGTTAAGATATTTGACTTTTCACAAAAGAACAAATATGGCATAAGACCATTATTGTAAAAACTTAAAAGATGTCCATACTAAAGGAGAGGGGAAAAAACTTCTCTGTTGGTTATCAGGGCAGGAGGGAGGGGGCAGTAAGACACAGATTGGGGATAGTCACATCAGCTTGGGTGAGAAGGAGGGAGCAATGCACGAAAGGAGGAGGGGATGGAAGAACAAGGAAAATAGGGGAACACATAAGAAGGTTTGCATGGGCTAAATGGGACACAGGTTAATAGTTATGTATGCACAACCTTGGAACAACAGGTCTCTGTGATACAGCGATTGAAGCATAATCTGAATGGGTAAAAGAGGGGAAATAATGTTAAGGTGATTGATG